TCAATGCAATTCCAATCAAATCCCCAGGACATTTTTCACAGAATTGTAAAAAACCATCCTAAGATTCATATGGAAGCACGAAAGACCTCAGATAGCCAAAGCAACCCTGAGCACTAAGAGCAATACCAGGGGCATTACTATATCAGATTTTAAGCTGTATTACAGAGCTATAGTCATTAAAACAACATGGTACTGGCACAAAAATAGACCCATAGATCAATGTAAAAAATTGAAGGCCCAAATATGAGTGCATACAATTTCAGCCACCTGATATTTGGCAAAGGGGCCAAGAACATTCACTGGAGGAAAGACAGCATCTTGAGCAAATGGTGCTGCCAAAACTGGTTCTCTACCTGTGGAAGAATTAAACTAAACCCCTATCTTTCACCTTGGATCAAAGATCTCAGTGTGAAGCCTGAAACTCTGAAACTGTTAGAAGAAAACACTGGCAAAAACCTACAAGATATAGGTTTAGGGAAGGATTTTTTAAACTGGACATCAGTTGCTCAGGAAACAAGGTCAACAATCAACAAATGGGACCTCATTAAACTAAGAAGCTTCTGTACATCAAAGGAAGCTACTGAGGAAGTGAAGAGAAAACCACAGAGTGGGAGAAAATCTTGACCAGCAACACATCTGACAGAGGTTTAGCATCCAAACTATATAAAAACTCAAAAAACAAAGAATCAAGAAAAGAAGTAACCCAATTAAAAGATGGGCTAAGGATCTGAACAGAGAATTCTCAAAAGGAGAAATAAAGATGACTAAGAAGCATCTCAAAAAGTGTCCAACATTGTTAGTAATTAGGGAAATGCAAATTAAAACACCCTAAGGTATCACCTTACCCCAACCAGACTGGCTAGGATCAAGAGAACAAATGATACCAAACGCTGGTGAGGATGTGGAGAAAGCGAATGCTCATTCACTGCTGGTGGGACTGCAACCTCATGCAATCCCTATGGAAAACAGTGTGGAGAACACTTAAAAAGGTAAAAATGAACTTACCATATGACCTGGTTATACCGGTCCTTGTCATATACCCAAAGGACTTACACCAAAGGACACCTGTACAACCTTATTTTTTGCTGCTCTTTTCACAATACTGAGATGGAAGCAACCTAAGTGCCCTCAACTGATGAGTGGTTAGCAAAACTGTGGTATATTTACACAATGCTGCTCTGTTCAGCAGTAAAGAAAGATGAAATAATGAAATTTTCATGTAAATGGATGGATCTAGAAACTTATACTAAGTGAAGTAACAGACTCAGAAATATAAAACATGTATGTTCTCTCTCATTTGTGGATCCTAGCACCAAATCCTTTTAAATTCCATGTTCTTTTAATAAGATGATACTGTACAGCAGTCTCTTCTGTGACCATCACCACGACTTCAGCTGTGCCTGATTGCTAAACATCGTCACGGTTGGGCTTGTTTTAGTTGTGCTCCTTCATTAAAGGAGGAGCAATCAGGGTCATTGGACCCTTACCAGGGTATCCAGCCACTCTTCCCAGCCAACTGTATGTAATTTGGCCCTAATCACACACAGTCTCCTGGATTTGGGGAGGGTAAAGGATACTCTCTGGGGAAGGCTAGGAAGAGAAGGCTTGACCCATGCTGGGTAAAGGCTTCCAGTGTGCATACCCTCAGGTCATTCATATACTTCAGCAGTCTCTCAATTATCTCGGTAAGTTCAGAAAATTCATCGGTTCCCCTGTAAAACTTTAATCAAACATTGGTTTGACACTAGAACCTTAAAAGAGAATAAGCATTGCTTAGTATCCCCAGGAAAAGAATTCTCACAACAGATGGAAATTTTATTTGTTAATGTTATTACATCTCAGAATGTTTTAAAAAAGAAAATGAGAATGTAAAAGATGTTAAAAGGATACGGGACTGGAGATATTTTCCGAAATCGACAGAAAAAATGAGAAAGCCTAAGCAAGTGATGAAGGTCTATGTAGGTTTGTTATGATATATAAAGGATGAGACAAAAATAATATATACATCATCTTAAAATTTCTATGGTCATAGTTTAGTCAACCAGTTTAAGGAACAAAATATATATCTAGTCAAGGTTTATCTAAGAACATTTGGTTTTATACCCAAGCTTTACCTACATAGCATATGGTAATTAAAAGTACCAGACTGGTGGAACTAACTTTAACAGCCATACTTTGAGGCCTATACTAATCTGGTCAGAGGGACTTAAAGGACAGTTTTTGCCCCTTGCCTTCCAAGGTCGACTAAGTTCCAGGGGACTATGGAACATCTCTCTAAATGTCCTGTTACTGTGGTGAGTCACCTGTCTTCTTGTTCAGGGAAGCCATGGAGACCCCACGAGACGGACTTGAACCAGTGTCTAGTCTACAAAGAGGAGGGTCAACTCAGAGACAACATTTCCTCCATGCTCCCAAGTGAAGTCAGACATGGTCGAGCAGGACCTTTGACCTATGGTCACATAGATGGAACCGGTAAAAGAAAAGAGCCAGGGGCTCCTCCCAAGCCCATGTGACCCCCGAGGAGCAGAGCCTCAAATGACCTTAAGTGTAAATATAAATTTATTTATTTATTTTGGCCAACTGTATGGTTTTAAACACACAAAGGAAAGTATAACAAAAGAATAAAGTGATCAGTATATTTCTTCAAGAGTTCAAGGGATTACACTTCTCAGACATTAGGCTTAAATCCATGTTAAAAGTTATTTAGACAATTTTCTCCTTGATGATTTTGTTCTGAATCAGAAAGTGCTACTCAGATGTAAGACTTCAAATCTTGGTCTCCCACCTGTAGCTAAGGGAGACAACCAGCTATTGCTCTAAAATGATGGCCAAATTTGTTTTCTCCCCCTATCTAGAAGCCTTTGAGAGGGAACCGACACTGATTCTAACCACTTCAACAGCTATCAAAATGCCTGAAAGCAAATCCTGAGTCCATCACTCTAGAGTCCAGCCTTGGCAGACAAAAGAAAAATGAGGAAGAACCCAATAGAAGGATGCTTTTGGAAGCTCTCATCAAGAGATTCCAATGGACCCTCATATGGACATTTGTAATTTGCTGTGTTTGGACTTTTTTCTAGTTCCCTGCCTCGAACTTATAATGTTAACTACTCTTGCCTTTACTTCTCCTTCATGACTCTTATTCACCAGTCAAGGACCATCTTTTCCCCCTACAGATAAAAGTTCTGAAATTTGGGAGTCTTTTAGATAGACCCACTGAAGGGGTACCCCAATTGCCTCACCCTGCGTCCCTGTTCAGCATGGAAAAAGCCACAGTGGTCTGCGTCCTGATTCCCTATCCTCAAGCTGGGTAACCTCTTCAGAGGATGGTGTGATAAGAATAGGAGGTAGGAATTGGCTAGGCAGTTAGTGTAAAGAGACCCCAAAGAAAAGTAGCCAGCTTCTTGGCTAAAAGTCAAAATGTCCTTGGGCCTCTTAGCAACATACTCTGTTTTAAATGCCAAAAATGTCTAAAGTATTTGATATCACTCATCTAATCCTTAAAAGATTTTAGGGTTACCTCTTCAGAGGGAGGAATGTCAGAATAGCAAAAAGCCCCATTAAAAAAAAAAGAAGATAAAGTACATGAAGTTATCAGAAAAAAAGTGATGAGGACGATATGAGAGGAGTTGGAGGGGAGGGAGTGGGCATGGATTTGATCAAAACACCTTATATGCTTATATCCCTGTATGAAATTCTCAATAAATTATTTTTAAAAATAAAATTTTAATAAGTACAATTCTAAATTTCATTGTTTTCATACCTCAGGAGAGCCACAGTCACAGTCTTCTCCCACTTCCAGAAGTTGGTTCCCACACTTTGGTTTTGTGATTATATTTTCAGGACTAGGTGCCTGAAGCAGACAGCTTGGTTTTTTAGATAAAAGGTATCTTTGAAAATGTGACTGGCTGATGGTACTGAAATCCTTGGGGAATTTCGAACTGTAACAGAGAAAGCATCAGATGTACTGTGATATACAATGCAAAGGCTTGTGGGTGTTATGTGAATAAGAGAATCTAAATTATCTCATAGTGCTGTCCATTCAATGGAAATCCTGAATTAATCACTTAATCACCATTCAGGACTGCTCTGCTTTGTATATGGTGGGCAGTAGAGGTGTGTAACGTTCTAATGGAATGTTGACTCCTAGGAACCCAGAAGCAAAGGTGGAAGAATTCTCATTTCATGGAAATTGTTATAGTTTCATTTGTGTTGTTGCAATAAAATAACCTGACAAAATGAAACTTAGGAGAGAAAGGGTTTATTCTAGCTCACAATTCCACTTATAGTCTATCATAGCTGGGAAGTCAAGACATCAGGAACTTAACACAGCTGGTCACATCCAGGCCAGAGAAGACTTGCTTGCTTGTGCGTAGCTCAGTTTCTCCACTCATATATAGTTCAGGAGCCCCTTCCCAGGGAATGATGTTGCCCAAAGTGGGGTGGGTCTTCCAACTCAATTAACTGAAGACATTCTCACACAGATATTCCCATAGGCCAACCAAAAACATATGATCCCTCATTGAGATTGTCTTCCCAGGTAATTCTAGGTTCTGTCAAGTTGACAGTTATGGCTAACAACACAGGGATTCTGGACTATCCAAAGTAAAAGAGGGGACCCATGTCACTATTGTTATTATCTATTCATCTCACACCAAGGGACAAGCAGTAAGAGATGGCAATCATGACCAAGTGAAAGGAAATAAATGATGGCTTCTGGGTTCATAGACAAACATCCCTCTTTATTTATGAATACCTCAAGAACAAGGTATGCTTTACCCATTTTTCTATCCCATGTTTCTAAAGTGACTGGCATTAACAGATAATAAATAAGTTAAAATAGATTGGTCAGTTGATAGGGATATTTGAAGGTATCTTTTCTTGGTTATCTTGGAAAAAGATTATCATCTTAATCAGCGTAATGTTTTTAGGAAACATGAGTCTAAAGCAATTTTAAGTTAAAATGATACAGTCACCATACTTATGAAATCTTTCTTGGCATACATAGAAATTTTAAAGACTGAGCCCTGTGGTGGTTAGAATGACATATGTTCCCCATAGGCTCATGGATTTGAACACTTAGTCCTCAGTTGGTGGCGCTGTTTAGGGAGGTTATGGAACCTTCTAGAGGTGCAGCCTTGCTGGAGGAAGTACATGACTGGGGGTGGACTTTGAGGGTTTATAGCCTTACCCACCTCCTATTTCTCTCTCTCTCTCTCTCTCTCTCTCTCTCTCTCTCTCCCCCATTCTCATTCTTGCTCTCTCCTGCTCTCCTGTGTGGATGAAAGCTTGAGTAACCAGCTTCCTGATCCTACCTCTATGCTGTACCTTCCCCTCCATCATAGACTCTATGCCTCTAGAACCATGGCATAAAATAAACCCTTTCTTTCTTAAGTTGCTTTTGGTCAAGTTATCTTATCACAGCAACACAGTGGTAACTTATATAAGCTCTGAACTTGGCAAAATGTCTATAAAGAAATGGAACTTGAATTAATGGGCTACCCAGCCTCTGCATAGTACATGTAAATTATTTAAGGCTTGGGAGATTTTCTTCTTTACTGTAGGGTGACACCTTCTTACCTCAGGTACTGGTTCATCACACAGCTCCCAGTGGGACACTTGGTGTTATATGGAACGTCCGACATACCAAGGACATGGCCCAACTCATGTGATATCACTCCCACAAGAGCCACATTGTTTTTTCTTTTAGCCTACAAAATGTAGAAGCGTCTGTTACTTCTTATTTTATTTGGTTATTCCTCAGTTGTTGTCAATATTTAGTAGGTAAGAAGAATAACTGAGAGAGGAAACACAGTGCATCCTGACACTCTTTTCTCTGCCATTGCTCATTGCCTAGTATATGAACATGTGAAATGCTGGCTCCTGTGAATGCAGGGATTGAGCCAGTACTCAAGCTCGATAAGTGAATAATCAGCTAATAGACCCTAATATCTCAGTAAATAAGGTTAGATTAATTGCTTTCTTTATGGCCAGTGCTATTGCGTGCCACTGTATGGACTCAGGTTTGTAAAACCTTGATTATGATTCTCATAGCGTGTTCACATGATATCGCACATACACTTTCTTCTTTGTCTAACATCTCTTTTCAAAGATACCAAACAACTAGTTTAGAGTTATCTGAGGCCACAGAGGGATCTTGGCTCCCCTTTATGATTCAATATTCCTGCTCTTATTCCTTAACACAAACTGAGTATGAAGCCTCTGACTGGGGTGGGATTTCATAGTTCAAGGACTCTTCAGGACAAGCATCTACTGACTCATGATTGATCAATTGATTTATCAATTTGGCATGTGGTCATCATGCTTATTCTGGTACATGGTGCTCATCTTCATAGAGAAATGGGCTCTCAGAGTGCCTTAGCAGAAGTGTACAAACCTCAATAACAGACACTGAAGATACAGTACACAAGGAGCTCACAGCTGCCATTCCTACGCGTCCATTGCGGAAGCCAATTCCACTGTGTGAAAGGTAGAGAAGCCCCGTCACAATCTGACTCTGGAACTGGAAGCTTTTCATAATGATGTCATAGATTTCCCTGGATGTCCTAACCTTTTATGTTCATGGGGTCCCAGAATATCATGCCGTATCACAGTCCCACAATGATTACAGATTGTTATCTTGCATCAAAGGGTATGTTTTATTGATCTTACAGGAACCTTCAAATAATTCATAGGTCAGTTGCTAATATTAGAACATCAGACCCTTTACAGCTAATTGGGGAGTTACGACTGAGTAGAAATTCCTGCCAAGAAATCCTTGGGTTAAATATCTACTCTGCCTTTGTGCACCTGCCCTGGACAACAGGCCTTCACCTGAGAAGCTGGGCATGGTCATGGATCTTCTTTTTCCTCAGGTTAGAATGATGCCATCTCAAGAAGTTGGTAAAGGTGTTGCCGATCTTAGGTTCCACCTTTATCTTATCGCCATCAGACCAGATTTCCATACCTACCAATGTCACTTGAATACCTATGGTTTTATAAATCTGTGGAAAGAGCATTTTTCATGAAAAAACTCAGGATTCTTTTAGTGTTTTAGACCTCTTATTGACCACAAGTGAGGGATACAGGGATGTACCATAAGTGATGAATTTCTAGTTTGAAAACAGGAATCATGGCAGATGCTTTTGCTACTGTATATAATTTTTGCCTTGATATTGATCTTTGTTCCGCTAAAATTTTCCCAGAATTCCCCCCTTGAGTGATACTCTTACTCCCATATAGTGTGAGTCCCGGGAAATCCCAGGCTCACACATGGAAATAAGCTCACTGGGCAAATATCTTACCACATTGAGCAGATTCAGCACCTCAAACACAAAGCTTCTCATCCGAGTGACATTTCCATTATACATCTTATACTGAAAAAATGCAAAATAAAAAGTGCAATTAAAATAGAAAATTTAAATGAGGCTGATGGAGTACAGGACTAAATAGAAAAATTACATGTTTCAACACAGTTAAAATCTACTCAACCCACGACTACTTTATCTAAGATTTTATCTCATCAAATTCTCTTTCAAATATAGAGATTTTTGATAAGAGAAAGATTAGACATTCTTTAAAATTACAGTATTATACATCTTGTTTGTTTGTTTGGTTGGTTAGTTAGTTTAGTTTGAGACAGGGCCTCAGTAAATAGCCAGGTGGCCATCAAACTTCTGATCCTCCTACCTCAGCTTTCTGAGCTCTGGGTTTACAGGGATATAGTTGGCTTTCTTGTTCATTTTTAAGCTGAATAAATCAAATTAATAATTTGAATGTCTTAATACCAACCCAATATTAATTCAATTTTGATTATTAATCAGCATAAATTCTTGCATTTTTCCCTGCGTATGTAAATATTTGTAAGTGATGTACAGTTTTGTGTTTGTATTTTCAAAATACGTATTAATGTATATTTATATTGTGTTAAAATATGAATACATTTTTTGTGGCTGATTGCCTGTATATGTGGTATATAATACTGAGTATATTATGGTATACAGCATTAAGTGTATTGCCAATGTCTAATATTTGGTGGCAGATGGATAGTAAATGGGATGAAATGGGATGGGTGAAAACTGTTTTCCACAAGGCAGGAAGTGCAACCAAGAAAACTAGTTAGACAAAATGCATTGTTAACTATGCAGATTTATGGCTTGCCTTTGCTTTATAAATTAACTCAGAAGTGAATGAACTTCGATGTGCCTATCTTTCATACTCACAAAGGCATTATCCAGTACCAAGAAGAGATCAAGATATTTCTTTCCCTGAAGAAAGTCTTCTTTCTTTATAAAAAATAAGAGAACATTAATAATTAATATTTATGTCTATCTTCAATGATTCAGAAGCATAATTTTTCTCTAAAGTAAATCAAATTATTATAAGTAAATACATTAAAAGCTTTGCATATACCAGTCACCCCTAAGCATGCCTGTATTTCATACATCATTGCTTTAGACATCTGAAATAAACAGTGTAAAAGAAAACTGAGAGGCTAAAGAGATGACTCAGTGGTTAAAAGCACTGACTGTTGTTACAGAGACCCAGGGTTCAATTCCCGGCACCCACACTACAGCTAACAACCATCTGTAGCTCCAGTTCCAGGGAACCCAACACCCTCTTCTGACCTCCACGGGAATTGTGTGACATAGGTGCATCTACCTACATGGAGACATTACACTCACATATATAAAATAAAAATAATAAATAAAAAATTTTTAAAAAAAGAAAACTATGCTCACGTTTGGGCTTTTGAGTGACCTAGAAGTTCGAATATTCCTGCCAACACGTCTCTCCCCACACTTGTAATTAGTTGTGTCTGGTTCCTCCTGACTGTACAGGAGGACAGCATGCTCTTCCTCATCCGTGCTTTTCAGAGGCTTTATCTGGTATCTCTGATCGTGATGTATGAAGAACCCGCTGTGGGATATGGAGATTGCATTTCAGGATGACCTGACATGCCAGTCATGCATCCTGTTCAGAAAGGATCGATGCTCTCCCTCCATCCCAGTTTCACACATGAATGACCGTTCAACAGGCCTGGCAGTTAATATCTGTTCATTTAAGTTACATTAAGTATTTGTTCAATAGTGAAATGAAGCCTGAGCCATTTACCCAGAGCATTCTCAAGAATTAGTAAAACTAAGAAATTTCAAAGAATTTGGAATTTATACCACAGTTCTATCAATTATTTTCCAATAGTTTATTCATTTAGCAAATATTTCTTGGTAATTTCTATAGGTATAATGGAAAACGGAGTAATGTAATGTTTAGATACAAAGATCTCTGGATAGAATAAAAGCGAATTGACAGAGCAGCCAGGGTAACACACTGGGATACCTAGAAGCTTAAAGACTTTCTTTCTAGTGAGATAATTAGTTCAGAAACAAAGAGTTATTTCATATCACGTGACATCACAAAGCAAGCATAAAAGCCACTAAAAATTATGTGCATGCAGGTATTTTGTGCTATGGAAAAGGTGATGTCACATCAAAGATGAGCTGTGTTGGAATAGTAACTATGTGTTATTTCACCTTTTATCATGTGAGCGGTGACAAGGTACAAACATGACAGCTTGTTAGCCTAAATAACCATTCAGAGGTTAAATTTTGTGGCATTCATTATTTTCCTACTCATGCATTTACTCATTCTCTGGATTTTCTATAATTGGCACACATTACCTGTAAATAGAAACATACATACGCATACTTCAAAAAATCAGTTCAATTGTGCAATTGTAAGGTAGGTCCTTTAAAAAAAAAGTATGACAACTAGGTTGCAAGAATGAAGTAGGTGAATTTGGCAACAGACACAGGTAGTCTCAGGGTCCAAAGTTCAGCATGGACAGAGTTGGAACTGACTTCCAGAATGACGGTTAATAGAGCAATGAACAAGTGATGCTTTGTTCTTCAATTTAACCACACAAAATTAGGAATGAATGATGAACAAAAAAATTACCAAAATGGTAAGGAGCCACAAGAACCAAGGAAGACCCTATCAAGCTTGTGTAACAAAATGTTGCTTCACATTTAATATTTTTGATCCTGGTTCTCACCTCAACCCGCCACAGGTATGAATACTGGCAAGAGAGTCCTTTTCATTCAGGATGTGACCTTCATAATAGCAATGTTTCTAGAGTAGAAAAAAATAGATCCTTACTGTAGAAATATACACATTATACATACACATTATATATATACATGTAATTTATGAGCATGCATATATCACAGTTGTAACGTATATAGGGAAGTTCAAGTAGTAACCAAGTCCTACCGGATCTCAGGAATGAAAATGTCAAGAAACTCAGAGTTCCCAACCAGATCCACAGTTGACCCTGTGACCTCCACATTTGGTTGTGAACTGTCTTCTCACATGAATTGCACTCCTGGCTGCACCCAAAGCTTCCAAGGAAAGTGGGAGCTTCCTCTGAGAAGTAGTGAGTCCATGTGAGATTTGTGCTGACTGGAAAGCTGTCAGGTTGTGAGGCTCAAACTACTGATTAACCTCGCCTTTGAGAGAGAGAGAGAGAGAGAGAGAGAGAGAGAGAGAGAGAACTTGCATGCTTGCTTGTGAGAGTGGGAGTGAGTTAGAGTATGAGTGTATGTGGACTCGAGCGTGTGGGTTCATGAGTTTTGTGTGTGTGAGTGTTATCCTCTGCTTGCTCCTGTCTTTCAAAAGTTGGCTGTGGTTTCTCATCCACTCTCTTTTTAAAAAATATTGTATTTATTATTTTTATTTTATGTGTCTGAGTGCATTGTCTGCATGTGTGTAGGTACACTCATGTTGTGTAATGGCCGTGGAGGTCAGAAGAGGGTGTCGGATTCCCCTGGAACTGGTGTTAGGGACAGTTGGTAACTGCCATGTGGTTGCTGGGATTCTCTGCAACAGCAGCCAGTGCGCTTAACTGCTGAGCCATCCCTCCAGTCCTGCCCCATCTGCTCTCCTCATCTTGACCATAGATAACCACTTTTCTTCCAAGTCACTGGATTTTAAAAAGCTGTCTTTGGACTATGCATTTTGCAAGGTGAATGCCAGATGTCAGAAAGGATTCAGACCCTACCATGTTCTGAGAATTCCTGGTCACCTCCTCTCCTCTGGGTGAGTAAGATGTTTCAGTATAGTCTGGCCCCAGGAGATGCCTGCAGTGAGCAGAAAGTGGCATAATACACTTGGGGATTCAATAAAGACTAACTTACCAGACATCATCTTTAGCATTGTCTATAGTGAGTCAGAGCTGCTTCCTGTAAGAGGCTTACTGACTGCTAGAGATGTTGATGGCCTCTTTTTCCCCAGGAATCGTTGAACATGATTTAGGCTTAAAGTGCTCTCTCTCTCTCTCTCTCTCTCTCTCTCTCTCTCTCTGCCTCTCCCTCTTCCTCTCCCTCTCTTTCTCTCCGCCCCCAATCATGTGTTTATGCAGGTGCCCAGGCTCCAGGACACATATGGAGGTCGGGGGACAAATTCAGATGTTAGTCTTCAACTTTCACCTTGTTTGAGACAGTCTGTCTGCCACTTTGACGCGCTCTCTCTCTCTCTCTCTCTCTCTCTCTCTCTCTCTCTCTCTCTCTCTCTGCGCCTCTCCCTCTTCCTCTCCCTCTCTTTCTCTCCGCCCCCCATCATGTGTTTATGCAGGTGCCCAGGCTCCAGGACACATATGGAGGTCGGGGGACAAATTCAGATGTTAGTCTTCAACTTTCACCTTGTTTGAGACAGTCTGTCTGCCACTTTGAACACAAGGCAGTCTGGCCATCTACAATCTGGGAATTCTCCTTTTCTAACACACCTCCATGCCTACCATTTCACAGTAAGGTCTCTGAGATTATAAATGCACACTATCCCACTTGACTTTACATGAGCTCTGAAGTTTGTACTTAGGTCCTCACACTCATGTGGCAAATATTTTACACACAGAGCCATCTCCCAAGCCTATATACTTACAAAAGTGACAGAAAATTATATTCACAGTTGAAGTGTACCTGAGTAGAAAGGATTTTCAGTATATTACAAATGTTTAAGGAAGAGAGACATTTACGGTATATTGCTCTTTGATTTTTACTTTGCATGTACTTTTCTAGTAAAGAAAGCCAAACCTTCTCAGACATCATTAGAATAAATTAACATATCCTAAAGCTTATTATGCTTCACATCTTCTATGTCCAGTCACACTCATTAGAGTCCCAGGGAGAATTTCCCTCAATCTCTGTTAATATAATGCAGTGGTTGGACTTTCAGGAAATTCAACTTACTTGTTTTTTTTTAGGTGAAGGATGACTTCTTCTCCATTTAACATGATCTGATATTGAACTTCAGGTGCATACATTTCCTAAATTATTTAACAATATAGTTATACTATATAGGTTATATTCCTCGTCCTATCTAAAATTATAATTATTATAATGTATCGATTACACATAGCATGCATTAGGACAATAACAAAGGACACAAGCCAAAAGCATTTCTCTTATACCTTCATATTTAAAATAAAACATAAGTTGAGTGTTAATAGGGGATTTCCTAAAAGCATAATGACATAATATGACATAGGGACTTACCATTTGCCTTAATGTATAATATACTGACCTGTCAACCATAATAAATCACCAACAGGACAGGGAATGTATTTTACTTTAGAATTAATTGAAATATATCAAAGAAAAGAAACAGTAAAAATCTACCAAGAATTTTAAAAGATAAATATAGCAAAATGAGGGAAGTATTTGCAATATGCTAAAAATACATGTTTGCATTCTAGAAAAAGACAGTCAGCAGGCGGAGGGGTGAGGAAAAGCTGTGAATGTGGAGAAGCCAAAAGGAAGCAAAATCCCCTAGAAATGGCAGCCTTTGGGGGCTCCCCTCCCCCGCAAACTTGAGGAACTGTCCGCAAAGCTGTATCTTTTCTTATCAAGTGACACAGATGAATCTGAGTTACTAAATTGCAACCATGTTTTGAGAAGTATGTGCTCTCTCTCCTTCACAGTGTTAGGGTCCAGATCAGACTGCTGTTCAGGTCGGTCAGCAGCAGACCCTCCCCACTCACAGTCACAGGCCCTCCCTACTCACAGTTACACACATAAACCTTATTGAGAACACGGTCTGAAACTCTAGCTAACAGACTTCCAGGTGCGCAGATACCTCTCTTGAGGAAGTGAGTTTACAGGCTGGGATACATCAGAGGGCTACCAGTGCTCACACATCCTGCTCCCCATCCCTTCCCTGATGCCAGCTGGGAAATCAGAAAACCTTACTGCAGATTCTCGCTGTGAAACACCCCCTCCAACACCCTCCCTTCCTCAGAGACCCATAAGAAGAGAACCATCCCTCATGCCTCATGAACCTGATTCTATTTCAGAGATCCACCATGCTGCCTGTGATGCTGGGGCATGAACCCTCGGAGACTTCACCATGCTGTTATCTGTCTCTCTCAATAAGTTTTCTAATAAACTTCTTGCAGGATGTTCAGTGCTGACTGAAACATCGTTTCTACTCCTGACAAGGTCTCTCACCTTGTCTACAGGTGACTGAAACGTTCCTTACCTCTTCCTCATAGGTCTCTGTCTGGTTGTTCTCAATCCCTCTG